TTCATGAATTGTTGATCTGAGGAATAGTTATGACTTTTTGCGTGTTTCTTTCATCATTTGGCAGTATACGAAAGTGTTGGAACGAAACTTTATCTGATAAGAGGTTTATTATTGGTATTCGGTTGTTGTGCGCAGCTGCCCTGATTTGAAGTTATCGCTACGAATGATTGAGTTATGTGGTATATCGTGTAATTACATCTAGGGTTACAGATATAGTTTGTTACAGCTTGTTCAGACTTATCCAGCGTATAGATGAGAGATTCTGATATTATAGATAAGCCCGGAAATGGAAATATGGTTCTAAGGTACATGGGCTTGGTTGAATTGTGAAATTTCAGTCATGTTGCGTTATCAGACCTGTATGGGGAAGGGGGACGTGGGATCACCCCCGGGTATGTGCATGGTAAGGTTATACAGCGATTCGTTGGCTTTTGGAACAACTCTGGGCACGTTCGAGGACGAACGTATGTTTAAGTGGGGGAGGATGTAACGACCCGACTGGTCGTTTTGAGCGTTTGCACTTCGCTCGCCAGTTCTCGGGCATGGCTAGCCCCGTATGATGTATTATGACTTATGTAAATCGTCGGTTTTGGTTTTCAGGATGATCGGAAGAGATATGGAAGGATGATTCTCAGCTTGAAGCTTTAAATTTGAAAGGTTTGACTCAGTCTTGACTTTTTAGTATTCAATCTCGAATTTGGATTTTTATGATTTGGTTAGCTCCGTCGGGTGATTTTGGACTTAGGAGCGTGTTCGGAATGTATTTTGGAGGCCCGTGGTAGATTTAGGCTTGAATTGGAGAAATTGGAATTTTGGCGTTTTCCGGTTGGTAGTGGTAATCTTGATATCGGGGTCGGAATAGGATTCCGAAAATTGGAGTAGGTCCGTTATGTGAATCGTGACGCGTGTGCAAAATTTCAGGTCATTCGGATGAGGTTTGATAGACTTTTTGATCGTTTGCGAAATTCGGAAGTTTTGGAATCCTGACTTGAATCCGAGGGTGATTTGATGTTCCGGCGTTGTTTTGAGTGTTTCGAGGATTGATACAAGTTTGAATAGTGGTATATGACTTGTTGGCGTGTTTGGTTGAGGTACCGAGGGCCTCGGGATGGTTTTGGATGGTTGTCGGAAAGTTTGGACTTGGAGTTGTGTTGCAGAATTTGCTGCTTCTATTGTTTCCGCACCTGCGGATTGGGGACCGCAGGTGCGTGGAGGCAGCCGCAGGAGCGGATTTAGTCGCAGGAGCGGATGATTTACCGCACCTGCGAGCCCGCAGGTGCAGAAGTTGGGCCTTAAGTGAAAAACCGCAGATGTGGTTATTTTGACCCCAGAAGCGAAAACAGAGCCGCAGGTGCGAGATGCCTGGGCAGAAAGTATAAAAGGTCATCTTCGCGACTTTAAGCTTATTTCCTCCATTTTTGAGACAAGTATGGAGCTTTTTTAGAGGATTTTAAGAGGGATTCAAGGGGTAATGCTTGGAGGTAAGATTTTTGAACACAATACTTGATTCTATGGCATTATTTTACTGATTAGGCTTGAAATTATTAGAAATTAAGGGTTAAAATTGGAGAATTAGGGCTTGGTACTGGAGAGTTTCCATTGAGGATTTGAGGGGCCATTTGAGGTCCGATTTTGATGTTCTTGGTATGTATAGACTCGTGGGAGGATAAGGACTTTAGTGATGTAATTTTTATTGAATCCCGAGGCCTGGGCCCGAGGGTCGGGTTTGGCCAATTATTGAAATTGGGTTAGTTTTACGAGATAATTGAGTTCTGTACTGTTTTGGAATTGTACTGTATTTGTTGTAGTGCTGTGACGTGAGATTTTCTATTTTCTTACTACTCAGCTTTCATTTACTTTTATTACTGACTGAATTGGCGTACTCACATTACTCCCTGCACCTTGTGTGCAGATCCAGGAGTTGCGGGTCGTGATAGTGAGCATTGATTGTCCTTTCAGCAGGATTTTTTTGGGAGTCGACAAGGTAGCTGCATGACGTTCGCAGCCCTGTTCTCCTCCCTCATATCTTCCCTAGATTTTATTTGTATTTTCTTCCAGATTGGGCTAGACTTTATTGTATCTAGACAGAGTTGTAGATGCTCGTGACTTGTGACACCCCGATGCCGGGCTGGTGTATTTATTCCGCACTGGTTTTTTAGACTTGTATTATGAGATTTTGATAATTTAATAGCTTGAAAATGACTTTTTATGAAATACTGGTTTGATTTGGGATTTATGTTGGCTGGCCTAGTTTCATGATAGGCGCCATCACGACCGGGTCGGTTTTAGGGTCGTGACACATTACCACAATGATAACGATTATAATTTCGTCTATTGTCACGTCCACATCCATTGATACAATCATAGTAATAATTTTGTCTTCTTTCAGAATTATCATATACTGCTATCACATTCTCTTAAGGAAATGAGAATGAAGCAAATTCAAAGGGACGGGTTTCCACTTCTTGTGCCCACAATCATACATGAATTTGATCATAGTAAGGCATAGAAATTTTACCACTTTTGGTGGTTATAATTTCTTTCAAACTCCACTAGAGTTACAGTTTAAATTTATCGTCTTTGCTTGTATTTAAAATCAAATTATAGAATGTCAAGAATTTAAAAGAGAAAAATATAGTAAAATACTTACCTTAAATCCAGAATTTAATCATGAAGGAAGTTCATGGAACAATTGACAATCCTTATGCTCAATATTATGTACAAGTTGAACACCATGCACGTATCCCAAAGCCATGGTGTTGAAGATTTACGTGAGCCCCTTCGAATTGGCAGGAACTAGTCCGTGAAAAGGATAGAGGGGTAGTAGGGAACTGGAATGATGATCAGAAAATAATACATATAGATGAAATTTGCAAGAAGTTTTATAACGAGGAGGAGTGTCCTTATAGAGATAAGTGTAATTTTCTTCATGAACGTCCTCCGAAATTTAAGACTAACATTCCAAGGCAAAGGGAGAGTTCTGCAATAAGCATTGGAACTACGGGATAACAGAAGTGATCTTGAGCATAATGAGATTAGTAAGCATGGAGTTGCAGATTCAGCTGCTGTCCGAATTAAACCTATATATTCCATGGGTGGTTTAATTTCTCATACATTAGACAACTATTTAATAGTATATCAATAAATTAAAACAATCGCCCTCTACTCAATTGGTTAGAGTCTCATGCTGATACGTGATACAACAACAACAATAACCACCCAGTATAATCCCACGAGTGGGGTTTGAGAAGGGTAGGATATACGCAGCCTTACCCCTACCCTGGGAGGGCAGAGAGACTGTTTCCGACATGCTGATAAAAGAAGAAGAAGAGTATTGCGGAGAAAAGTAGAGACATAAAATTCTTATTGATTCGGGATGAATTACAATGTAATAGAACACCTCTATTTATAGGGAAAAATGGCTTAGCCACCAAGCAACAAACTCTAAAATCTCACTAAAATATAGACATTCACCTTAAATATAATTCTATTTATAACAAGACCAAATTTCTCCAAAAATTACCCACGCAGTCCCTGTACGATATTTTGGCAAAAGATGTACAACGAATACGTGTTGGAAATGTTAGATTTAAGTAAAAATTACAAGTAGCAAATAGTTATGTGTTTGGAGCTAATCTTTGATCTTCAAAACATCTAACTTAACTACTTGGGCTATAAAATCATGATTAGCTACTCTGGAGATAACTTGGAACTGGAAAGAGAGCTAAAGACTCCGTTGGAAGCATTCATCAAAGCTTCAAATCTGGTGATTTTGATCTTTAAATGACGACTAAAATAATTCTTGAGTTAAGACTTAAGAGAGGGAGAAGAAGTCAAGATCCGATAGATCTTGGTCGTTTTTCTGTCGTGGTTTCGACGATACAGCAACAAAAAGGGACGAGAGGGAATAGGGGGTTGGGAGAATGGAAACACAAGCAGTAGATCGCCAGCCGGTGGTCAAATCCGGTGGCGGCCGGTGATGAGAAGTGGGGAAACGTTTACTGTTGCTCAAGAGAGAAGGAGACGAGAGTCTCACAAAGATGGGGGAGTGTGGCTGTGAGGTCTTGAAAAATGAGAGAGAGTTAAGGTCAAGGGACTTGGCAGCTCACGTGGCAGTTGACATGGAGAAAATTGAGGGGTCAGCTGCCACTATGGATATCCGTTAGGGTTAGGGGTAATTTTTAAAAGTTGATTAACGGTAGGGATAGATTTGGACGAAAAGTATAACGGGTGGCATAAGTAAACAATATATCATTATAGAGGGGTAATTTTGGACCTTTACCCTTTAAAAAAATTACAATTTTTTCGTCCAAACGCCTATATAAGCAGGTCTTCGCCGCTTCTATATAAGAGTAGTAAAAGTAAAGTCCAGCTCTCCGCCTTTCAAACAAACTTACAAAGTGTTTGATTACTTGCAGAGAGAAAGAAAGATGGGTACAGGAAAGAAAAAGATTGAAATCAAGAAAATAACAAAAGAATCATCAAGAATGGTGACATTCTCAAAGAGACGCAAAGGACTTTTCAAGAAAGCTGTAGAACTCGAATCCAAGACTAGTGGTGTTCAAGTTGCCGTTCTTGTTTTTTCTCCCACTGGAAAACCTTACACTTGTGGTGGGAACGACGTCCTTACCACCTTTCAAAACCATTGCGATTCTTCTCATTCTTCAGAGTCAGCAACAAATGGTATGTGGGATTCTAAATTCAATGTTGAAACATGTCATGACGTGAACGAACTCTTAATGTTTAAGGCACATCTGGAAAGTACCAGAGAGAAACTGGCCGAGTCTCAGTTTTTCGAGTCTCTGTGGTTATGAGAGAGTTTTGTAGCTGTGTGACTTCAAGAATTAAAGCCTTTTTGATCGATTTTGAGTTTATATAAAGAATTAATTTCATGTTTTCGTTTTTGTAGGGGATAAGAGAAGACAGGAATCTGAGTGTCATTCTGTGTCTGTTTCAATGTTAATTATAGAGGATTTTTTTTAGAAAAAGGATTATGACTTTATAGTAGTACTATTTTTGTAGGTTTTGCTTCAATTGTTGCGGACTAAGATATAAAGCTTTTTATTTCATGATTTTGATCTGGGCCTGTTGATTATGTGTTTGTCGAAATTTCTCTTCATGGTTTTTGTTTCATAATGTTCCATTAACTTGTACCTAATGAGAATTTTTAAAAATGTGTGTTAATGTTGGTCAATGGCGGAGCCAGTATTTGAAGCTTATGTGTTTGGGATTCTTGTTCTTTTAAGTTAGTGGGTTCTAAATTAATTATTTGTACATGTTCAATAGGATTTTAAGACAAATATAGGGTTTGGACCAAAGCTACTAGGATTGGACGAACCCGTAGCGGAAGAGCTAGCTCCGCCCCTGATGGTTGTAGGTATATTTATTCCTTTTCTTTTTACCGGAGCCTAAACTCATCGAGCATTCTCCTATCTAAATCTAGTTATAAGATCAAAGGAAGCATGAAATTTGTTGAATGGTAATCAGGAAGCATAAAGAGGGGAATATGAGTATTACTTTTACTTTTACTTTTCTCTTTATTTGGAGGCAGGGATGGTGGCCCGACATAGAGGGAAGAGGAAGGGGAAGGAGAGAACGGGGTAAAAATCCAACGTTTTACCTTTAGAATGTAAAATAGAAATGCCATTTGCTCGTCATGCGTTCAAATTTTTCGGTATGTGTGTTTGTATGTAAGTAGGTATGTGTATGAGCTTATAAACTTTAGGACTTACGAAAAGGTTGATCCTCTAATCTCTATTAATACTCGAATGCAAGTTGAAATGTATGTAAGTAGGTAACATCCTTTTTTTTAAGCAGAAAAGAAGAGAACAAAAAGGCTTAGCATTTATCTGATATTTTTTCATGATTCATTTACATGGCAAGTAGAATTATTTGAAGTGAAATGATATAATTACACTGCAATCATTTGTATGGTTGTGTTCTCTCTACATCTTATGGAATGAGAGACTGCCTGCTCCTTCTGTACAGGGTGAAGACGACTAACTTCTATCACTTGTGCTAAACTTTACTTTTTCTGTTCCTGCAATATACCACTAGAGGGGGATCCAACCCTGCCATTTTTTAAGATGAGAAGTCAAAGCAAGGAGTTAGTACCAATTTGTTTGGAAAGAATAAAATGAAGATTGTGCCTTTCTTTAATTAGATTTTTTGAAGGGAGGATACCAAAAGGGGTTGTGGAAATTTTGATATTCAAAATTGGCAAGTGCACAATACCGGCAACATGTGATTTTGTTATTACCACTGGTGCATGTTACATGATAAGCACGTATATTCTGCAATTTGGTTATTTCCCTTTTAGTAATTCTTCCTTTATTGCGTAGAACAAGTTCAATAGACATACCTTAATCATTCCTGTTTCTGTACCACATATAATCATGTCATTTGCTGTCAGAAGACTTGTTATCTTGCTGCTTGCTGATAATCTTCCAACTTTGTGTTGTGTTCCTCTCAGCCAAATCTGATCATCTCATGTATTCATGGGTCAGTATGCAGCCAGTTGCTTAGAGATGAAGTGGTATTTAACATGGTAAATTTTGTGTAAGCGAGTTGAGTAATTAGCATATATTTAGTACTCATTCATTGAACTTGACCTTGGCCCAAGGTGATTTTTGTTAGGTAGAGATAGTTTCTCTTTTTCCCTTTGGGATATGACTTTCTAGAATTATCAAACTTAAATCTCAGTATCTAGGAAAAATATGCCCAGTACCTGGATGTTGCTCATTGATGCACTGCAAATTAAATATATGAAGTCCTCAACTACTTCCATTGCCAACACGTTGGATCCCTTTTCTGGCGACAAAGATATTTGGGGCTTCTTGTTTTTTCTCCAGTCCTGCATCAATGAGGGTGTCAATGGAAGAGGTATTTACTCCACATCAGCAAGTTGCATTTGTTACCTTTATATGTGAAGCTTCAATCATTGAACTTGCACTATATATCCAGTCCTTATATACGGCTAATGAGTTCACAGACTTGTTTTTCATACTCCAAATCTTTGATGGTGCTTTGATCTCTTGCTGCCTGCTGTTTGCTATAGCTAACTCCTGCATTGAGTAATTTGATATTTGTACTTCAATTGCTTTATGAGTTGTTCCATTATCTATATGAATCTAAGTCAAGATCTAACCCTGACCTGTATGCTTGAATCTGTGCAGCCTACGTAAAGCTTTCCGCGTGTCAATATTCCACACCTTACGGATTTATTCGTAAAATATTTACTGGCTTTTCGTGATCCATCAAACACCTATAAAAGAGAAGGTCTTGTTAATATAATATACTATCTAAAAGTCATTCCGAAACTTGGCTTCTCAGACATGACTATAAGAGTCTGCCTTCCTATTTGTAGGTTCTTTCTTCTGAATGTAATGATTTTGTATCTACCTTCATTTTGTGGCTTTGGGTAATTGCAAAAATCAGTTTTCCGTGTGTGTTAATATTTTGAATTGAATCTTTTGCCAGTATAGTCTCTACGCATTCAAGATTTCTTTCATGCATTTGCCAAATCTGTAGAGAAAGAAAAACACGTCAATCTTAAATGCATTTTTTGAATTCCCTTCAGTCCATAATATTAGCATATGACTTGATTGGGTACTATTCACCTTTACTGTTTTGTCAGCAGATCCACTCAACAGGCAATTCCCCAATTCAGAAATGGCAAAGCAAGTCACAGCCTTTTTATGCTCCTTCACGTCCCGGACAAGTGTCGCTGCTTGTCCTTTGATGTCCCATGCCTATGATGTAAAACCATCAGATATTTTGTTTTGCTTCTATAAAACTTAAAAAGCGATGTGCTTATTATAATAAAAATACCATAATGATACGGTTACTAAAGTAATAGGCCTGTAATTCACTCTCTGCTCCCCCCCCAATCCCACCAGATGTAGGTAACAAAATGACCATCTTACCTACACATATCCACACACACATTGTTTTGGAATTTAACTTACAAGAGGCCACATGCTTCCTTTGTTAGCGTGAACCATAAATTTGGAGGCAAGAAGTATGAAGCACTTAAAAATAGCTGCAAACCTTGATTGAACCATCTGCATGTCCGCTGTAAAGCTGTCCATTATAGTAGATGAGCGAAGTTACTGCTCCACTGCGGTTACTACCCACCTCGAGAATCTGTGTGTGTACACAAGATATTCTCTGCTCTTACATTTGCAAATAAAAGCTTGAGTTAGAATGAAGGATTGTATCATGATAACATAGTACTGGGATGAAATGGGCCTGATGCTAGAGCAAAATGGCCAGAGGTGATACATCTTTCACATGGATTTTTACTTTGCTGATGCCTTTTATCCTTGCTCTGCATTTTAGTGAACAAGACACATATTCAAAAAGTAGGTTTCCTATTCAGGGAAATATCCTAGTAGTCTCTTTGACAGTGGAATTTATTTTAGAATGTTAAGGTTACCGAGCTTGTAATAGTTGCCGCTTGGATGCCTGCTAATACAATGATGATAATAGGTTATACTGAAGATACTGTTTAAGGAAGTTTAATAGGTTCATATGTACTAGATGTGATGAACGTAGTAGGAAGACTTGCATTCCGAGGTAGACATACATTTGGTTGCATGATTGTGCTGTTAACATCAGATGCAGTCATTAGATATGTAAGAAAGAAATCTGATGTCTACTTACCCACTTGTTTGGCTGGATATAGTCAGCAACCTTAAGCAATTCTTCTGCCATCCAACTGATACTGGAAAGACGTCTTAGTGACTCTCTAACTCCTTCTGACAAGTTGACTAATTTTTTCATCCCTATAAGAGTTTTTCATTTCAGGTACATGTTTGAATTGAAAGCAAGTTAACTTGGCTAACGGTGACTTAAGCACATGCTTGATGTGAAAGCAAGTTAACATAGCATATAGGTGATGTACGAGCAGAAAAACCTATGCCTAACCAACATGTGATTTTGGGACTATCAAATTAAAGAGAAATTTGTGCTCATGTAAGATTCAGAGAGATATGTAAATCACGACGGATTGTGGCTGTTTATGAAAGTTCTTTGCATCTACAGATGCTGCCTATATACTCATTCTCCAGCAATCACAAGTTTCTTCAGTTTAGAAACTGTAAGTACTCACACTGCAGAGATTCCTGAAATTCACGAAACAAGATCACTCTCTTTTGCCATTCAAGGTCTTTTTCCTCTAGTTTTGTTGTTAGGCTGTCAGCAAAAGCAGTAGGAACTAAATTTTCATTAGTTTTCTTGTTCTATTGTAATCAAAGTTATCTGATAAAGTTGAACCATAAGACCCTTCTACGCAGACAATTTTTGAGCAATGTAACAACCTTCTAATTGTTAAAGCAGCTAAAAGTGCTTCCTTAGCTTGTTTTCATGCAAAATATGAAATTTTAGACTTCTTTTTAAATATCCCAATTTAAAATAAATGTATAAGAGTACAAGTTTAGAGTAATACCTCTTCCGGAAGTATAATAATAGATACAAAGACATCCTAATAGCCTCTCTTCAAGCTCTAGTCCTGGATGCACAAATTGCTCCATTCTACTAAGCAAGATCTCACAGGCTGCATATCTCAAATCATCTGGGGCTTTCATGATTTCAGACCCAATCCATGCAGTAGCGGCAAGACAGTCTCGGGAAGTGCTCCTCGAATTGCTCTTAAGTCCTTTCTCTAAAGCATGGAAGAGAGGACTTCCAAATTTTAAGAAGCGCTTTGCTACTTTGCTGCACCATGTCTCTATGCCAACATCCTGCAAGTTTATGGAATCTTTAGAACAGGTAAACAACTGACGTGTGCCGCTGAGCATGAAATATTATGTAGTAGCCAAATTGGTCAGTGTAGATCCTAGTGCCTCTAAATATTAAATAGTACAATATAGAGCTGTGTTCTAGGTGTTACCTATGTGGTGAGAAGGCAGAGACAATTAGCCATTTTTTTGCATTGCAATTTCACTATACAGATATGGAGGATTTTCATCAGTCTAAGGGGAATTCCATGGGCAATGCCGGGAAGATCCTTGATATTCTAGCTAGCTGGAATAAAGAGGGCACACTTTCGAGAGATAAAGAGAGATGGAGAATTGTCCCAGCTTGTATATGGTGGACAGTCTGGGAAGAGAGAAATCAAAGATGCTTTGAAGAGAAGTCCAACAACATCCAAAAGATAAAGACGAAATATTTAGTTCTTTTTTATTTTTGGTGTAAAGGAAAACTTTTGGAGGATAGTGTATCCATTTTAGATGCCCTAGATTCATTGTAAGAAGAACAAGGGTGAAAAGTGTCCTTTTTGTGTAGTTTTGTATGGGCACTTACATTGTAATTATGGGTGACTTCACAATTTTAGTGAAGTCTTTATATTAATATACAAATATGTTACCTTCTCAAAAAAAAAAAAAAAGATTTGTTTGTGCTTGTTAATGAACATTTGCTTTGGGTTCATAGCTTCAGAAACAGCAACTGTACAACTGTAGTTTAGAACCTTATCAAAAAACTGTACAACTATAGTTTAAAAGAAGCTGTACAACAGCAATGGGAACGTATAGATTCTGTGAGAACTCTCAAAAACTAAGAAGCACTCTAAATGAGAAAAATCTCCACAATGCTATGATAGAAATCTAAATATATAAGAATAGGAGCATCCCAAAGAGTAGGATAGCTATGAAGCTGAAACCCCAAAGGAAAATGTAAATCCTATGGAATAGTTTGTTTGAGGACTGTTGAGATAAATCTTAGGTGCTAAATCATCCCTAGCTCTTCTACCTGCACTTTTGATCAATATCTATATGATCTCACGCAGCACCAAGTTAAATCTTCAAAGCACAAATACCTGTAGACATTGATCTGAGAAGTCAACATTCTTTATCATGTTCTTATGTTGCAGTGAAGTTAAACCAGCCTTTTTAAGCAACCATGGTATTGTGTATGGTTCTCCTGACCAAGAGCACGTTCCGCCAAAATTGGATAGGATGAATGCTGATAGTGCCTGTGTCGCAGAATTCTCTTCACATGTCACTGACTCAAGTAAGGCTTCCATAGCCTCTTCACAGTATACAAATTTACTAGATGTTTCTTCCTGAAAATTTTTCATCGTCAAAAGCTCATGGTTACTCCTTTTAGTCTGTAAGCAAATGTATAAAATGTACGAATAGGTATTACATTAGTTTCATAGGGCCAGAAACATAAGTTGCGTGGACTCTCCAAAAATGTCGCTGCACCCGTGTTCAGATCCTCCAAAAATGCACTACTTTTGGAGAGTCCGGGCAACAATAGCAGGAAACCAGATATAGGTAGATTTTCGCTTTCTGTTTATAGAAGGAATGAAAGAAAATGTAAACATTTCCAAGTTTTCTTCTTTGTATAGTGTTTCCTGCTAATTTTCTTAAGCTATAAAAGGTAAGTTTCTATTTATTTTTTTATTGTTCTCTTTGTGTACTTCAGTGCCCAATATCATGAGTTTCTTGTTATCCCTGTACGCTTGGGAGATTCTAAGCTCAACATGTGCTGTTCTATTACAGGTGTTTAGTTACGCAAACCTGCTCGATTTATTGTTTGACACATTTTTTTCCAGATACGTTGAAAGATAACACTTCAATATGCTTACTAGCATGTCTAACTGAAGCAACAAATTTGCTGCCAAAATTTTGTACTCTGATTGTGAGTTTTGGATGAGGAGCAATAATGCACACATATTGTTGTTGCTTCCGTCTTGTTGTATTTTCTGCAGCACCT